TTGGGACAGGTGTGTCCGAAGCAGCCGAGCCTGCGCGGCCCTCACCCTGGTCCCAGCACAAACATCCTCCCCCTAAAGCTAATTCAAGCACGAATAAAACAGCTGAAGGCTTGTAATTTGATTAAGCTCTTCATTGTGATATAGCTCAATACATAGAGCTGCTCTTCTTTTTGGTTTTAAAGAAAGTGGCAGTCACTTAAAAGCCTCCGTGTTCCGCCAGGTTTTGCCCCACCTCGCACCATTCCTTTCTCCCTGGAGATTTTTTTTTTTTTTACAGTGGGAAATGAAGAATCCCATTTTCATTTGAAAGGTCTCTGCCTTATTCAATTCCTTTCCTAAAAGAATTTCTGAAAAGGAAGTTGTAAAGCAGTTGTGAGAGCTCCCCCCCCCCCGGTTTATGCTAATAAAGCAACAGCAGAGGCAGGAAAAGCCCTCTTGCTGCTTCTGCAACCTGTATTAACTACCCTGAGAAAACTGTGTATTAACTACCTTGAGAAAACTGTGTATTAACTACCTTGAGAAAACTATTACCCTGTCTCAACAGCTCACCGGTTGTTGCCCACGAAGAACACACAGGAAAACATGCAATTCCAAAATTTAATGTTGAACCAGGCAGTAAGAAGGAGAAGTCCGCTCCCTAGGAGGAGTAACTGTACACAAAATAAATAAGTTACCATTCAAACAAAAGCACAACCGGCTTTTTAAAGTGCACGTGTGTAAGGCCCTTAGGCTGTGAACTCCATTGGCTCAAAGTAAAAAAAGAAACCCGACTGTATACATGTAAATCTGCCACGTGTTTGAGGATGAGGAGGGAGCAGCTCAGCTCCGAACAGGCCAGCCACGCTTCACCCCGAGCTGCATCGCTCTGCATGATGGGACAGAGAGAAGGGGACGCATCTCGGAGGGGCAGCTGTAAGGGACCGTCACTCCAGCTCCACGCTCATTCCCCAAAAGCTCCGTCTTGGATCATTTAGTCCAGACAGCGTTTTGGTTTTTTTCCAAACAGTAAAAAAAACCCACAAATCATTTATAATTCAGTATGTTTACACCCTGCAGACAATAGTTTTGCGTACAAAGAGTCTGGTCAAGTTGTCAGCAATAATATAGCCCGTAAAAAAATAAAGGACCATTGTGTACAGTCGTGATGCCCGGTCCTGTCCACTTATTTTACACTTATTTTTACAGAACAAATTCATGTTTGCTTATTTGTTTCCAAGTACATGGGAAATGCACAGTAGAACTGTTTAAGAAGATTACAGATACATCATGCTGTCCCCTCTCCATCGACGTGGAAGCAGGACTCAAGTGGTTACTTCTGCTCAGCCAGCTGCAGTTCAGGGTGTTTCCCTGCTCGAGCACAAGTCGAGAGTCACAGTTAAAAGGTTGTTTCTTTACAAATTAAAGCCGTGTCTGTCCCACTGGAAAACAGGCAAACTGAAAGCTTGTTTCACTTACTGGAAAGTTCCTTTTCCAAATGAAAATAGTTGTTCTACAAGTCACATCCCAGAACCATTTCAAGAGTTTGATTTTTCCCCCCCCCCCCCCCTCCTTCTCCAGGCTGCCTCTGTTCCTCTTTCAAGCAGCTGCTTGTTTCTGCAGCCACGCAAAAGGCAACGCCAACCATCCTCCTTCCACCATGCCTCCAACTCCGGACGTGCCGGTGTTCAACACCCCCAGTCCCAACCTCGGGAAGACGGACGGCTCCGCGGTCAAACGGAAGTGACGGTCCTCACTTTGGCAGACAGGGCTTGCTTAAACCTCCTCTTCAGATCCTGCATGTTGGGCGACTTCGGGCGCGGGATGAGGGAAGTTCTCCTCCTCTCCGGGGTGCTGGTTGCTGGCTGCTTACTGACTTCTTTGCAGAGGAGATGGAAGGCGTTGAAGACGTCGTTATAGTTCTCGCTGACCGACACTTCGTAGAAAGTACAGCCCAGCATGTTGGCCAGCTGAAGTCCGTGCTGCGGCTCCACCTCTTTGACATGCAAGAGGTCGGCTTTGTTTGCTACGATGACGACGGGGACGGCGTTCCCCGGGTGCAGCTGCCGAACGTGATGGTAAAGGTGACTGAGGAGTTCATAGCTCTTGTAGTCTGTGATGGAGAAGACGATCACCAGGGCGTCTGCCCAGCGAATGCATCTGTTCAGCTGCTCGTTACAGTCCAGACTGTGCTCGTGGATCTGAAAAAAACGAGGGGTCGCAAATTAGATGGCTGAAGCCATAAAAGATTAAAGGAACCTGTCCTTAAGAGTCTGTAAAGCCAAACAGCACTTTACAGCTTCAGACATACGTTTGCATTTCACGTTCTAAGAACAAACTTAATCCAAGCGTGGCGAATAAATGCATATGTTGATTCAGCTGCAGAGAGCTGGAATTTAACACTGGCCTTTGCTATACTCGAATGGAAAATTGACCCGAGCAGCTCTGCGTGCAGAGAAAGACTTTGTAGTTCCACAGAATGGGAAATTAACTGGCTAGACAGCAAGTCTGGGGAAGCGAAGATATGAGCTGGAAGCATTTAGACCTGGAGCGTTGCCCAGCCCCAGAAGGCAGCGGTCCAGCATTACGCAGGTCTATACATTCAGGACTTCTAACTCGTGGCACAGAAATGAGCACAGCCACAACACAGCAGGCTTCGCTCGCCGTCATCCGCATTTATAAAGCTCGCCAGGCAGCGGTCACGACATTTTCTTCCACGTGTGCCTTATTTGCACAGAACGGTTTCTGGTTGTGTGTCCAGCACACGGGAACAAGACACTTCGATAATTCAGCCGCTCGGAAGCGACGGGCCTCCAGCGTAGCAATGATTCACCACAACAGCCAGTCGTTTTCTTTTACTCCCACCATACTACAGGCATGCAACACGTCTGGCTTCGCTGGTTACAACCCCAAGTTTCTCCCGTGGGGAACACCGGACCCGGAGACGGACCACAAGCAGACGCGGGGCGGCATCGAGCTCACCTGAACTCCCGGGGTGTCTTGCACTTGGATGGCCAGCACCTCCCCGTCTATCTGGATGTGCCTGCTGTAGAGGTTACCTGGCAAGGACACCGACAGGTTCACAAGCCCAGCCACCACCCTCCGCACGGACAGACGCTCCTTCTGCCGCCCGTTAGCCGGGCCAGAACGGTTGCACCCCCGTTCATCACGGGAGGGACCAGCGTTGTGCGGTTTTGGAGTCTCCTTCTCTGGAGATATTCCAGATCCGCCTGGACAAGGTCCTCTACAGCCTGCTCTGGGTGACCCTGCTTGGGCAGGGGGTTGGGCTGGGTGATCCCCAGAGGTCCCTTCCAACCCTGACCAGTCTGTGATTCTGTGATAAATCGATGGCTTCACTGGAAGCCTCGGGTTTAATCTTGCACCGACTCCTTTTGAAGCTTGCACAACTTGGAACTTCATCACTGCTCAAAGACTGGCTTAACTTGGACGACAAAGGTAAGCGTGCAAAATGACCTGCTGCTACAGAAGGGCAGCTTGCTTGTCATTCCCCATTTCCCAACTTTAGCAAACCGTTTCTCTAAAAAGCTCTCTGCTGACCTATTTGTTGATTTTTTTTTTCTCCTTTTTTTGTTTGCTTGGCTTTCCCAAGCCGTTCCCTCAGAGCGCTGCACACTCTCCGTTCACCTCAGATCAGGCTTCCCACTCAAGCCAGCACGTAGCATCACCTCGTTGCTTTCCCCGTTAACCAGCACTGTCTGCATCACTCAGCTGCTGCCATTCCCTTGGTGAAGGAGAACCAGAATGCTGTGGGCTGGAAGGGACCCTTATCATGGAATCATGAAGGTTGGAAAAGACCTCTGAGATCATCAAGTCCAACCATCAACCCATCACCCCCACGCCTGCTAAACCATGTCCTGAAGTGCCACATCTACACGGTTTTTGAAGCCCTCCAGGGATGGGGACTCCACCACTGCCCTGGGCAATGCCTGACCACTCTTTCAGTGGTTTTTCTTCTAGAGGTCCTCTAGCCCAGCCCCCCACAGTGAGCAGGGCCACCTCCACCCAGACCAGGCTGCTCAGAGCTCCATCCAACCTGGCCTTGAAGGTTCCCAGGGATGGGGCATCTCCCACCTCTCTGGGTGACCCGTGCCAGGGTGTCACCACCCTCACGGCATAAAAATCTCTTCATGATACCTCATTCAAACCTCCCCTTCCTCAGTTTAAAGCCGTGGCTGCTCGTCCTGCCGCAACCAGCCCCTCTGAGGAGATCTCCCCACTTTTCCCCCAGGTCCCTCCCGGCTGGCTTCCCACAGGGGACATGTTACCTCGACTGGTTTTTCTTTTCTTTTCTTTTCTTTTCTTTTCTTTTCTTTTCTTTTCTTTTCTTTTCTTTTCTTTTCTTTTCTTTTCTTTTCTTTTCTTTTCTTTTCTTTTCTTTTCTTTTCTTTTCTTTTCTTTTCTTTTCTTTTCTTTTCTTTTCTTTTCTTTTCTTTTCTTTTCTTTTCTTTTCTTTTCTTTTCTTTTCTTTTCTTTTCTTTTCTTTTCTTTTCTTTTCTTTTCTTTTCTTTTCTTTTCTTTTCTTTTCTTTTCTTTTCTTTTCTTTTCTTTTCTTTTCTTTTCTTTTCTTTTCTTTTCTTTTCTTTTCTTTTCTTTTCTTTTCTTTTCTTTTCTTTTCTTTTCTTTTCTTTTCTTTTCTTTTCTTTTCTTTTCTTTTCTTTTCTTTTCTTTTCTTTTCTTTTCTTTTCTTTTCTTTTCTTTTCTTTTCTTTTCTTTTCTTTTCTTTTCTTTTCTTTTCTTTTCTTTTCTTTTCTTTTCTTTTCTTTTCTTTTCTTTTCTTTTCTTTTCTTTTCTTTTCTTTTCTTTTCTTTTCTTTTCTTTTCTTTTCTTTTCTTTTCTTTTCTTTTCTTTTCTTTTCTTTTCTTTTCTTTTCTTTTCTTTTCTTTTCTTTTCTTTTCTTTTCTTTTCTTTTCTTTTCTTTTCTTTTCTTTTCTTTTCTTTTCTTTTCTTTTCTTTTCTTTTCTTTTCTTTTCTTTTCTTTTCTTTTCTTTTCTTTTCTTTTCTTTTCTTTTCTTTTCTTTTCTTTTCTTTTCTTTTCTTTTCTTTTCTTTTCTTTTCTTTTCTTTTCTTTTCTTTTCTTTTCTTTTCTTTTCTTTTCTTTTCTTTTCTTTTCTTTTCTTTTCTTTTCTTTTCTTTTCTTTTCTTTTCTTTTCTTTTCTTTTCTTTTCTTTTCTTTTCTTTTCTTTTCTTTTCTTCTCTTCTCTTCGCTTCTCTTCTTCTCTTCTCTTCTCCTTTCCCTTTCCCCTTCCCCTTCCCTTTCCCCTTCCCCTTCCCCTTCCCTTTCCCCTTCCCTTCACCTTCGGACACAGTGTTCAGAAACACAGACAAATTCCAGAGAAGGGTTTGCTTTCCGAAGCACCGTGAGCTCTCTCTGGCTTTAGAGGAGTAAATACAAGGAAGCTCTGTGTCCATGGCACGGTACGCGTGTCCCACGCTCCCGACGCACAGACCCAAGCCGACCAATTCCCCTTCCCCTTCCCTTTCCCCTTCCCTTCACCTTCGGACACAGTGTTCAGAAACACAGACAAATTCCAGAGAAGGGTTTGCTTTCCGAAGCACCGTGAGCTCTCTCTGGCTTTAGAGGAGTAAATACAAGGAAGCTCTGTGTCCATGGCACGGTACGCGTGTCCCACGCTCCCGACGCACAGACCCAAGCCGACCAACCCCTGTGGAAAGCCCGAGAAGATCGGTGTTCACCCTCTCCTCTGACAGCCCTGCGTCGCCTTCCAAGAGCGAAACAAAAGAGGCAGGGAACAGAGATATTAAACTGCAAAAACAGGGAAACAGCTTCTCTCCATGCTGGGAGAGACCTCCCGGCCAGCAAAGGCCAAGGTGACCGAGCAAGATAGGATCTTGCTGGAGATAGGATCTCCCTGGCAGTGTTCAAGGCCAGGTTGGATGGAGTTCTGAGCAACCTGGGCTGGGGGAAGATGTCCTTGCTCATGGCAGGGGGGTTGGAACCAGATGATCTTGCAGGTCCCTTCCAACCCAAACCAGTCTGTGATTCCATGATCTTCATTCCAGCGCAGAGAGAGAGGAAAGTGACGGAGGGAGGGACAAGCTCCATGCACCCCCACCTACCCACGGACCCTTCGTGGTTTCTGTAGCAGCACAATAGCAGACATTTTTCTCTCTCTGCAAGAAAGCCTGAGTAATGTTCTGCAATTACATTAGTCTGCTTTTTAATCAGATTTTATCTTCTCTTAAGCTTGCATTTTTCCCCCATTTCCTCCTCCTGTAACGCTCCCAAGCTCTCAGCCAAGAAGTGGAAAGCCCAAGGTTTCCTTTCCCACCCGGGGCTGCCCATCTGCCGCTGGTGTTTCTGCGTGCTGGTTCGTGCCCCCACGGTACGAGCGGTTGCTCTGCACGCAGAACGCCGGTTCGATCTGAAAACGGCGGGAACGCCCCGAAGATGGAAGCTCTTGAATTAATACAAGCTCTAATGCTTCATACAAAAATGTATGTGAGAGAGCTGGGCCATGGAGACTCGTGTCCTGCCTGCTCAGCGGGGTGAGCCGGGGTGGCACAAGCCCTCGCTGAAGCTCCATGGCTTGAGCTGACCTTCTGAAGTGGAAAGATGCTGGAAGGTTTGCGTTTCTAACGCAATTTCGTTAATGAGAAGGATGGAAATTCAAGCTGCGTACTGCAGCAGAAAGTTATGGTGAGGGAACGTGTAGGTTGCAAAGTCAAGCGCAGAAAATACAGGAAAAGCCAGAAATAAGATTGCCTGGGCAACCTGAGCGCGTCCTCCCACATGCATATGCATTTTCTCACAGCCTTCGTTGCATAACGCCGTGCCGTTGCACTGTCTCCTGGCACACGGGCAGTCTGTCTTCCGTTTGCCCATGGGAACGGAGCACCTAAATATACCTGAAGATCTGGATTTTATTCAGCATCTCTTTCAAATCCTCAGTTAATCAGCCGTGGTGCAACACAGGAAGTATTCCCTTAGTACAGGAATTACTGACTCCTTCAGAGGCTTGCCGTGGCGTATAGCAAAGATAGAAGCATAGAACCATGGAATGGGTTGGGTTGGAAGGGACCTTAAAGACCATCTGGTTCCAACCCCCCTGCCACGAGCAGGGACGTCTTCCACCAGACCAGGTTGCTCAGAGCTCCATCCAACCTGGCCTTGGACACTGCCAGGGAGGGGACAGCCACAGCTTCTCTGGGCAGCCTGGGCCAGTGTTTCACCACCCTCATGGACTGGCAGCTGCTCTAAGGTCACCCCAGAGCCTTCTCTTCTCCAGGCTGAACAGCCCCAACTCCCTCAGCCTGTCCTCGGAGGAAAGGTGCTCCAGCCCTCTGATCATCTTCGTGGCCCTCCTCTGGACCCGCTCCAACACATCCATGTCCTTCCTATGCTGGGGGCTGCAGAGCTGGACGCAGGACTCCAGGTGGGGTCTGACAAGAGCGGAGTAAAGGGGCAGAATCCCCTCCCTCGCCCTGCTGGCCACGCTGCTCTGGATGCAGCTCAGGACATGGTTGGCTTTCTGGGCTGCCAGTGCACATTGCTGGCTCATGTTGGGCTTCTCATCCACCAGCACCCCCAAGTCCTTCTCCTCAGGGCTGCTCTTGAGCCACTCTCCGCCCAGCCTGTGTCTGTGTTTGGAATTGCCCCAACAAAGACATGAGATACAAGAGAAAAATTTGAACTCAAAGTCAAGCAGGCTGCCTAAGTCTGGCATGTACCTGCCAATAAAACTGCTGTCAGTTGCTACTTCATCTTGAAGCACCTCAATGCTTTGTACACTCAAGCGTTCTGTAGCAAAATCCCATGGATACGCCGAAGCAGAGGCTGTAGCCTTGGAGTTTCTGAGATGAGCAGTTGAGCCACCAAGCAGGAGTCCATCTCTCTCTCTACCTGAATGGACATCGAATCCCTCAGGACTTTGTTGGGAAGACCAAGAGAGGCACATCTAAGGCTTCTGTAAACGTCACAGACCTGGGGCCAAGGGCTTCTCAGAAACTGAGGGGGAGAAGAAGCAACGAGAACATACAGGAAGCAAGCGTGACAATAGAGTGTGTTCGGCCAGGCACCTGGCAGGGAAGGGTGGTGGGATGGGTGGGAGCTCCCCAGGAACACCAGCCTTCCCACCCATGCTCGGGGGGTAACTGGTGCAGCGAGGGGCTGTGAGGGCAACTGGGG